TATGACAGTTGCCCGCACCAATATGGCGGCGACGTTGACGTGCGGTCGAGTGGCCAATGAGGCGTCTAGGTATTTATTATGTCTATGCGTGCACCAGCACGCACGGCGTCATCGTACCGGATGTTGATTAGTCTGGAGGAAGAGCAGGAAGAAAGCGCAGCAGCGCGAGCTCCAGCTGAACGGAAATAAACAAACAGTCGATCGGAAGCGGCTGGTAAGAGTTGATCTCATACTAACCGGTTAAAGGCGAGCTTTGCTTCGATTCGACCTTCAAGAGTGTGTGTGTGTGTGTGTGTGTGTGTGTGTGTGTGTGTGTGCAAGAGTGTGTTGTTATTGTGATGCTGCGCGACAGATAAACAGACACAAGAAAGGGCCTTCAGCTCGACGCGCTTCATTATGATCACATTATTGGTTGTTTTCCTTCTGTTCTATCGCGGAGTCAGAAGCTTCTGTCCTCTGAATGAATGAGATCTGATCTAGAGCTGCTGATGTTCCTCCTTCAGGGTTTCCACTCGCCTTTTCACAAATTAAGGCCTTAAATCGAGGCAGAAAGTCATAAAGTCGTGGCATTAAATGTTACATGTTACAAACAAACACTGCCAAAAGATGTTCTTCCTCAATATTTCTGTCTTGTTTTCCAAATGTCTTTAAATGAAGACACATCTCCAGTAAATGAAAAGGTATCATGACTTAAAAATCTTCAGACATTTAAAACTGGAAGGACACAAATATTGAGGAAGAACAGTGATCAGAAGGTACAGTAATAGTTATTTCAGTGTATTTTTGTGTAAAGTAAATAATAAAGATCTGTTGGATGTTGTATCTTTCAATTTCAATGTGTTTCTAATATAAGACATATACATTTAGACACTGTATTGACATTGGATTCCATTGAATTAATTCCCTATTTTCTTTACTTGCTCTTAACGTGTTTGAGATTGTCCTGCAGAAGAATGTGCTGTCACTAGCTATGTTTCCATCCAAAGTTACAAATTAAACGTATGCACAAAATTGGAATATCGCATAAAACATTTACGAATGAAGCACCGTTTCCATCCAGTGAGTTCACTTCCTGATTAACTGGCACTAATTAATTTGCTGCAGCAGGAGAAGGCACTGTATGTAATAATGTTTGTATAAATTACGAGCTTCAGAGTGCGCAGACGAAACACGGTCATGTTATCTTATTTTCGGAGTCTGTGCTGTTTGGGAACGCAGTTAATTATAACGAAGCACTTTGACGAGACTTTGCTCAAGCATTTTAGAATGACAAAACTAGCATTTGATCGGTCCAGTTTTATTCTGTCCCATCGCAAAGTCACGTGTCTTTTTTGATGCGCATTAAGGAATTTATTCTGTAAAAGTTTTTCCATCGTAGTTTATGCACGTTTTCTTAACGGATGAGAAATGTATCCTACTTAGTTAAGCGCATAAGCTTTTTTATGCACATTTTTAGAATTTATGAGCATCTTGGCGTTTCCATCCAGCCTTTTTTCATGCAATATCCCAAAAAGTGCATAAAAGTAGGATGATGGGAACATAGCTAACTCTGCGTCTCTGGCTCTCACAGGTGTGTTTGTGTGGATCATGGGCCGCATCTTCTTGGATCACATCGGCGGCACGCGCCTGTTCTCCTGCGCTAACTGCGACACCATCCTGACCAACCGCTCCGAGCTGATCTCCACGCGCTTCACCGGTGCCACCGGACGAGCCTTCCTCTTCAACAAGGTATATATCGTCTGCGCTAATATCGTAATTGTTGTTTTAACGATGTGCGATTTGACATTATCCAGTATTTTGCAAAAACAAAACACCTACAGAGTGCACGCATACAAGTCTAGACTAGTGCGCGTGCGCATTTAGAGTGCGTTCTTTCACTGCATGATTCAGTCTATTACAATACATTTAGAATGATCACAAAATTCAAGACATGGGGGCAGAAAATGTATATATTTATATTATTTATATATTTTATATATACTAACCCTAACCCAGCATGATTACAAATGTGATATTGATTTTATACAATAGTTCAATAAACAAGAATTAATATTAAGAGGCTTAAGTTTTAGACGCAATATTCCCTGTTTTTGTGCTATTTTGACAACAAAAATAATCCCAAACACATCCACAGCACTGTTTTGTGTCTCTGAGCAACATGACGGTATTTCGTTCTTGAATGAATCAATCGTTTAAATGATTCGGATCAATCGCAATGTGATTACAAATGTGACATTGAATTCAATAAACAATAAGTTAATTAAGAGACTTACGTTTTAGACACCATATTGCTTGTATTTGCTCTATTTCGCCAACAAAAATCATTCCAAATACAGCCACAGCGCTGTTTTGTGTGTCTGAGCAACATGACGGTGTTTCGTTCTTGAATGAATCAATCGTTTAAATGATTCGGTTCAATCGCAATGACTCACTTATTAACAGTGACTTGCTGCCACCTGCTGGCGGATTTAATTTCACATTTAAAGTGGTTCATTTAAGGCCGGGCATGCACTGTGTTTTCATCAAGGTACCAACTCGCACTGTACGAGCAGATCGCATGAGATGTAAAGTCAAAGCTCACAGTTTATGTGCTCACACTGTGCGTGTGAAATACAGTTGCGCAGACGATGACACGTGTATATGGACAATAGCCAGAGATATCTTGAACAAAAAAGCATCAGGTGATTTGTCATTTCTAATTAATGTATTAAATTATTACCATTACTATTATTATCATTATTATGGTACTTTTATTATTAAATGTATAGGTCTACTACAATTAATTTGCACCACAATAATTTCATATCTCATTACCGCACAACTGACGCGCGGATAATAAATGATTAAATTAGCTTACTCCTCATTGAAAATGATTTAAAACATTTAGATATATTACACAATGAATAGGCCTGTATTAAAGATTAAATAGTTAAAGTTCTATTTTCGCGCAGGCGCAGTGAGGGACAAAGCACTGAGTTCAGGACAGTCGGTTCGTAGCTCTGCTTCAGCTGAAAGCTGAAATTCGGCCCAACTCAAAAAAGAGTCAGAATTCGGCTCAGAATCGAACGGAAATCACACAGTGTATGCCCGGCTTAAGGTAGATTGCTCGTTGTATCCTTTCATATTAATTTAAATAATTAAAAACTTCAGTATCCAATGTTTTATGTTTAATATATCAAAACAGTATTTATGCATGTGTAACCGCAGGTTAAATGCATTCATGTCCTGCACTAAACGGTGTGTAAACACATCTAAATATCACTTCAGACGCAGCTTCTGTGTTTCCTCTGCGCTGCAAAGATGGATTTTATTGATGCTGATTTAATTTGCTTGCTAACAGCCCAAATCTCTTATTATTCTAATTCACTGATTAAATGTGAGAAATTGACTCAAAAGATAATACACACTTTTAGAAAAAATGGCTTTATAAAGGTAAAAATGCCCACTAAAGATAAAAATCAATTTGAACGTATTGGAAAAGATTAATTTCTCTCAGTGTGAACTGACCACAACACAGAATATGAAGAATATCAAACACTTTAGGAGTCAGCTGTCCATCGCAATCCTTAATATATCAGCACAATAACACACTCTCAGAAAAAATCCCAGAAAATATCGAGATATGATTTTTTGTCAGTATCGCACACCCCTTGAGCGACTGGCCGTGGCTAGTGCACGGTGCTGATGCTAACGCTAACGTCCTGTGATGTTTCAGGTGGTGAACCTGCAGTACAGCGAGGTGCAGGACCGCGTGATGCTGACCGGCAGACACATGGTGCGAGACGTCAGCTGCAAGAACTGCAACAGCAAGCTGGGCTGGATCTACGAGTTCGCCACCGAGGACAGCCAGCGCTACAAGGAGGGCCGCGTGATCCTGGAGAGAGCGCTGGTGCGCGAGAGCGAGGGCTTCGAGGAGCACGTCCCGTCAGACGCTTCCTGAGAACCAGCGCTCGCCGTGACTCTCAGGTGTTTGTTAGGCCAAACCCTGATTTCAGCTCTGTAGATTCACCAATAAACATGCACCGCTGGTCGAGAGCTTCAGATGCACAAACAAACAAACGCGGCACGTAATGACCTGACCATCTGCTCACCAAGGGATGGCAGTTCAGATTATTTGACAGAAATGCATATGTTCATGGCTTCTTTTCCCGTGTTTCACACATTTTTCCTCTGTAAGTATGGAGTTCTGTTTGTGCCAAAAGTGTAGACTGCTTTGTCTATGTCTGCTGTTATTGCTGTTGTTCTTTGTTCATGCTTTAGAAGTTTGTGCTCTCAGTGAACGTTCTGTACGGATGTCCATATAAACAAACAGAATTTGCTCAATAATGAGTTTCTCACCATTTTTCTAAAACTCTGAATATTATGACAGTATAGATGATGGCTATAGATTGATTAATGCAAAAAAAAAAAAAAAATGCATCTGGAAGTTTGAGAAAACTCTTATTGGGAAAATCTAATTCTGTTTGTTTATCTGGATGTTTGTAAAATATTACAGAATGTAAAGCATAGCACTGAATAAATGACATAAAACAACAGCACTAACAGCAAACAGACAAATATCATGTACGATCCACTTTTGGCACAAATCTAACTCCATACATAAGATCGCTTGTGTTGTTGGAATAACATCTCCACCTTCACCGGGAAACCAAGGGTTAATGAATGCACCGGATGAAATGACGTAGAGTTCTCCACAAATTCTCTGTTTGTTTCCTTAAAAGTTGAGGACAATTGTAAAGCCCTCTTTATCATCCTTTAATAACTCGTCCGTTTCTGCATCTGTGGTTTCTCTACACTGATGTGACCAGACAGGTTCAGGATTTCAGGCTGAAGAGATCTGAAGGTCTTTCTGGTTGAGCAGAGTTTAGGATGAGCTGCATTCACTCAATCTGTGATCTGTAGTCAAACAGCAGCCTGTATTAGATCACAGCCGCTTCAGACACAATCACACCACTCTGCCGTGAAACGACCTTCCTTTGCTCTGTTGGAGAGGAGTGTGTTATTATTCACTGATTCTCGTGTTCATTTGTGATTTCTTCGAGACTTTTTGGATTCGTTGGGTCTCTAAATCTCCTCAGTTCTGCGAATTCCTCACATGCTTCTGTTCGGTGTTTGCTTCTGAAGAACCAGCAAGAGCGTTTCTGCTTCTCTCTATCTGTCCTTTGATTAAAGCCGCTTCTGTTCATTATTGTATTCCAAAGCTCAGTTGTGTGTTTAGCATGAGGTTCATTGTGTTATATTTGATGTCTTACTTGAAGAATAAATCATTTGCTAAAGTGGAATTGCTCTTCCTTCCCAGTATTTCAAGAAATTAGTAACACTTTACCATAAGATTCCATTTGTTAACAGTTGAACTAACATTGAAAAAATAATTCAAAAATATTCATTAATTGTAATGTTAATTTCTGTGCATTTACTAATACCTGATTAAAGTCAAAAGCTGTATTTATTATTATTATATGTGACCCTGCAGCACAAAAGCAGTGTTAAGTCGCTGGGGTATATTTGTAGCAATAGCCAACAATACATTGTATGGGTCAAAATTATACATTTCTCTTTTATGCCAAAAATCATTAGGATATTAAGTAAAGATCATGTTCCGTGAAGATATTTTGTAAATGTCCTACCGTAAATATATCAAAACTTAATTTTTGATTAGTAATATGCATTGCTAAGAACTTCATTTGAACAACTTTAAAGATGATTTTCTCAATATTTAGATTTTTTTGCAACCTCAGATTCCAGATTTTCAAATAGTTGTATCTCAGCCAAATATTGTCCTACCCTAACAAACCATACATCAATGGAAAGATTATTTATTCAGCTTCCAGATGATGCATAAATCTCAATTTCACAAAATTGACCCTTATGACTGGTTTTGTGCTCCAGGGTCACATTTAATATAGCTGAGCTGACATGAGCTAGCAATGAAGAATTGTATTTTTATTAACTAACATAAAGATTTGTAAATACTGTAACACATGCATCACTCATTGTTAATGTTAGTGAATGCACTGGGATCTTATTAAGACTGAAGCTCAGTGCTGGTGTTTTGTGCTCCAGCAGATGGGAGTAAAGCTCAGTGTTGCTCTGGCTTCAGCCAAACAGCATCACGCTCACACTGATCCTCTTCTGTGTTTGCTCTAACTACAGGTGACCGACGGGTTTCATCTTACATTCACTGTCACTCCAGCCCTGCGCACATACGCCAGAACAAACCTGGCTTCTGCTGCTCCGCACACAGACATGCAGCGAGACACAGAATACTACAGACGGCTTTAAAACCAGCCAGACACTAGACAAAACCACTGCTTTTACATGCACTGCTCTGTCGTGCTCCATCTCATGTCTCTTCTTTCAGAAAACACCTGAAATACACCGTTAAGTGTTTGTTTTATTGCACTTTATCTATTTGCGTCTGTAGATTTCTATCTCAAGCCATATCTTTAAAGCGTTTTACATTCAGCAAACTTTAGTTTTATTCCTCTGAAGGTTTGTTCAAATTTCATTCACATTGATACAACATTTCACTCCTAAAAACATGGTGAAAATGTGTTTGTTTTCTGTCTGTTGATAAACAGAGAAATCCAAAAGCTCCTCTGGAAAAACCTTTAACTCTCATATGTCAACAAACTCAAAGAATATTAAACCTGGCTTTAGTTCATGTTCAGATTTATTTTCTGGGAAGGTATGCAAAGGAGTGCGTGTTTAATTAGAAAATGCCTCATTTGCATGTTGAAATAGAACTTTCCAGAAATCCTGTAATACAAGTTATTTATTGCACTCACTTTATATTAAGTGTCCTTAACAACAATGTACTTACATTTAAATTAATCATTTGAAATGCACTTATTGTGTACATAGGTTACATGTTTTTACATTGTATTTCTATTTGAAAATACCATCCTGTAATTACACCTTTTTCTGGGCTTGCATCTATATTTACACTGTTGAGCTAACCTCGATCCTGTAAACCAGCACAGCAGTCCCTAACCTAACCTAATCCAGATCCCACCTCAACTCAACAACACAACAGCTGCATTTTACTGAACAACTCATTGCTTTATTATTAACTACAGAGTATTTAAAGACACTTAAATATATGTCCCTGCAGCACAAAAGCAGTGTTAAGTCGCTGGGGTATATTTGTAGCAATAGCCAACAATACATTGTATGGGTCAAAATTATACATTTCTCTTTTATGCCAAAAATCATTAGAATATTAAGTAAAGATCATGTTCCATGAAGATATTTTGTAAATGTCCTACCGTAAATATATAAAACTTAATTTTTGATTAGTAATATGCATTGCTAAGAACTTAATTTGGACAACTTTAAAGATGATTTTCTCAATATTTAGATTTTTTTGCACCCTCAGATTCCAGATTTTCAAATATTGTCCTATCCTAACAAACCATACATCAGTGGAAAGATTATTTATTCAGCTTTCAGGTGATGCATAAATCTCAATTTCACAAAAGTGACCCTTATGACTGGTTTTGTGCTCCAGGGTCACATATAAAGTGAGACCTATTTATTAATTTATTTATTTTTTAATGGTATTTATTTATTTTACTTACCATTCTTAATGTGATTAGTGATATTAGTGATCTATCTTTAGTTGTTTTGTTCACCTGTGGTGTGTTGCTTACAGCAGATCCTCCTCTGGGTTTTGATTTTCCAGCAACACCAAACCAACGAAAACCATGAGTGCTGTAAAAAAAATAAAGTGCTTGCACAGTTTAATTTCTCAGTTGTTTGAGGACACGAGGAGAAACAAATCTTGACAATCAGACGATAAATTAGCTCATTAGATAGGAAAGCATGTTTATGATGCGTAAGGCTGTTTAGTGTATGACAGTGTTTACAGTGCGCGGTGCTAACTAACCCAGTCAGCAGAATAAACCAGCCGGATGAGTGTTCAGAGGTGACATTTATGACAAGAATCCGCTGAGGAGACCTGAAGGGAACCGACGCGACGCGTCATCAGCGCGTGGAAAAGTGCCAACTCATGATCGCCAAGGCGAGACAGACAGGTGAGCATCAGTGAGAGCACCGCGCAACGCGATCATGGGGCGCTACAGCGGCAAGACGTGCCGCCTGATCCTGATGCTGGTCATCACCGTCATCTTCTTCGTGGCGGAGATCGTAGCGGGGTACATGGGCAACTCCATCGCGCTGGTGTCGGACTCGTTCAACATGCTGTCGGACATTCTGTCGCTGTGCGTCGGGCTGACGGCGGCGCGGGTGTCGCGTCGCGCGGGCTCGGGGCGCTTCACTTACGGCATGGGCCGCGCGGAAGTGGTGGGCGCGCTGGCTAACGCCGTGTTCCTCGCCGCGCTCTGCTTCTCTGTGTCCATGGAGTCGCTGAAGAGGCTCGCCATGCCGCAGGCCATCGATGACCCGCCGCTGGTGCTGATCGTGGGCTCGCTGGGGCTCGCGGTGAACGTGCTCGGGCTGCTGATCTTCCAGGACTGCAGCCGCTGCCTGCGCGCGACGCGACGGAACGACGCTCCTGTGCCGCGCGACGCGGAGGAGGAAGAAACAGGTGCTGACCCCAACGCTTCGTGTTTGCTTTGCAGCGTCGCTGCTCTTTTGAGAGATTCATCTGCTGTGTGCAACATCTGATAAACGCCTTTACAAAGTTAGTTTTACGTTCATTCTAAATCAGAAGCACTGAAGACATTCTCTAAATGTCTGATTCACATCTGACAGCAGGGTCTCTGCGGGTCTCAGCTTTTCACTGATTAAGCTCTTTAAAGGTCTAAAATCAGAGCATAAAGTCATGGAATCATGGCATTAATTCGCTGCATCTTCCTCAGTGTTTCTGTCTTGTTGTCTAAACATGCCTAAATCAAGATGCATTTACTGGAGATGCTAAATTAAATTAAGTCTGACAAATGAATCAAAATGAAGAGAGTTTATGATTAAAGCAGGAACAGATATCTGTCAATGAGGAATGAAAACTAGTTCTCCCTTTGAATTAAGATGATTTTTGGCAGATATTTTACAGATACTTTAGATACTTGTTTTAATCATAAACTCACTTCATTTTGATTAATTTCTTAAAATTGTGAATATCAAGTAAATGTATCTTGATGTAAGAATCTTTAGGCGTTTGCACCGGAAAACAAGACAAAAGTGCTGATGAAGAACAGCGTGATCAGAAGTTACAGTAAAAATTATTTCAGTATATTTTTTGTCAAATTAATTAAAAGTAATGGAGATGTGTTGGACGTTGTTTAAGACTGTACTGACACATTGTGTTCCACTCGATTTATTCCTCAGATTTTCTTTACTTGGTCTTAAATTGACCTTCTTCAAACCTGCAGAAACCATGTGAACGGAAACGTCTCGTAACAGCAAATGCTCTAAACAATGTCTTCCAGATAAAAACACATACATTAGACGTCTCTGCGATGCACATGTTGTATCTGGGACGGATCTGCATGCATTATTAAAGTGCAGTATTGTGTGGCCTTGTACTTTGGTCATATAATCTGAATAATCTGCTGCTGGAGAACAGCGTGACTGATGTGTGAGCCTCAGGCAGAGCTGGCGCTTTGTGTTTGTCCTGGATCTTCAGAAGTGCACTCCACACTTGTGCTTTCTCCGTCCACAGGCCTGCAGGAGAAGAAGGCTGGGAGCGACGGGCCTCCTCTGAACATCCGGGGTGAGTGAGTGAGTGAGCCGCTGTGCTTTAGTGTTCATCAGCAGTGTTTCCAGCACACTGTCTCTCTCTCTCTCTCTCTCTCCCTCTCTCTGTGTGTGTGAATGGCATGTCTCTCTCTCTCTCTCTCTCTCTCTCTATATGTGAATGGCATGTCTCTCTCTCCGCAGGCGTGCTGCTGCATGTGTTGAATGACGCGCTGGGCTCGGTGGTGGTGGTGGTGGCCTCGGCTCTGTTCTACGTGTGGCCCCTGGCCCCTGAGAGCCCGTGTAACTGGCAGTGTTACGTGGACCCCAGTCTGACACTGGTCATGGTGGTCATCATCATGTTGTCAGCTGCTCCTCTGGTCAAAGAAACGGCTGGGATCCTGCTGCAGATGAGTCCCCCTGATCTGCCGCTCACCGCAGTCTGTGAGTTCACATTCATGTCTCTGTGCACTAGAGAAATCCATCCCAGTTCACGTATTTATGCACTATTCTGTGAGGTTTTTTAGTATAGATTGTGCAATCAGTATGTTCACACTGGACTCTTCTAATGTCATGATGATGCACTTGATTAGCCGACAAAACCAAGCGTGGAATATTGGACACTTCATGCATTCAACCGTCGCAGCTTTAATTACTCGAGGACTGCTGCTTTAGTACATAGAATAGTGCATAGTGTAGTGTGTCAGTCTGTCAACACAGTCTGGTTCACCACATTAACATGAAGGATTTTTTTTTTTTTTCAGTTTCTTTTGCACAGGCCGTTCACAACAAGAATGAAAACTCTAATGATATTATTAGCATGCAGACTGATGTGTATTGTTAATGTTCTAAGTACATTGCAGTTTTGTCATCTTTTAAAGGCACAACAGACTTGTGTGATTGGTTACAACGCACAACACTGTAAAAACACGTGAAAAGAATCATGGCGCAACATTGAGCAGATCTCAGTCTAATGCTGCAGTCAACACTTTTCATTTCATTTTCATTTTATTCGCGACAGCCGTACTGAATTTAGTTTAACTGTACAGCAGCACTTTTTTTAGTTTCTACAAGTGGAAACTGAGGATAGTGCGGATATTACGTCATAGATAGGCGACAATGACCAGGGACAAGCCATTATTTAAAGGGGTAGTTCACCCAAAAATAAAAACTCTGTCATTAATTACTCACCCTCGTGTCGTTCCAAACCCGTAAGACCTTCATTCATCTTCTGAACACAAATTAAGATATTTTTGATGAATTCTGAGAGCTCTCTGATCCTCCATAGACAGCAAAGATCCTTACACGATCAAGGCTCAGAAACTTAGCAAAGAGATCGTTAAAATAATCCATGTGTTCAACCGTAATTTTACGAAGCTACGAGAATACTTTTTGTGCACAAAGAAAACAAAAATAACGACTTATATTCAACAGTTCGTCTCCTCCACGTCACCTTATAGTGCCATTTTGGAGAGTAAACGGTACCTTACACGGTTACGCCGTTTACACTATTTACACTTTGATCTGAACGTAAACACGGTATCCGCGTACATATGTTGCATACGTTGTTTACATATTGTGCCTTTATATTGTTTCTTTCATATTGTGCCTTTAAATGCTCATGCTCTTTAAAGCAGGATGGATTCTGATTGGCTGTCGATGTTTTTATTGTTCAGCAGCTGGAAATAAATCATTCTAAAAGAGATTCCAGTGAAATCATTCATCTGTGTTGTTATTGTTGTAGTTGTGTGGACTCTGCTATTCTTTTAAATTTAAAACAGTTTTCAGAACTTTAGCATTATAGTTATGTGTTTTAAATGGGCCTTTTAACTTAAAAAATGGTGTAGAAACAATTTGCACTCAGAAATTGCTAGTAAGTTTCACAAATAATTACAAAAAATGACAGATAACATTGAATTAAACAAACTGAAATATTTAGACAGACTGAAATAGTCATTTGTTTGTAAAACTGCTTGCAAAATTCTGTAGAACTATTTGTCTTGTAAAATTTACAATTTACAACTACAGAAAATTACAGTGTATTTTACAGAGTAGGGTTGAAGGAAATCTCTGTAAACATACTGGTCACTTTCTGCCAGGACATTTGTTGAATGACAAAGAAACAGCAAGTAACACATTGAATTAAATGTGAATTTTAAACTGTATTTTCTTGTAGTTTAACTTGTAATTTACAGCATCAGAAGATCATTTTTTACAGTTTGTTTACATTTGTTTTTAGGACATCGGTTTTTACAGTTTTCAGTCATGCTACTAGTAAACTTCACTAAGTTAAATGACAAAGAAACAGCAAGTAACACATTGAATTAAATGTGAATTTTAAACTGTATTTTCTTGTAGTTTAACTTGTAATGTACAACATCGGAAGAAAATTTTTTACACTGAGGGCTGAAGGGAATCTCTGGTAAACTGTAAGGTTTTTATTGTTGGTGTCTCACAGTGCTGCTGCTGCGTGTCTCTGCTTGTTTGTGTGTCTCTGTCTCAGTGGAGAGCGTGTGCAAACTCCCCGGCGTGGCGAGCGTTCACGAGGCTCACGTCTGGGAGTTATCTAAAGGACAGAACGTGGCCTCGCTGCACGTCAAAGTGTCTGCTGACCTGCAGGACCCGGCTCTTCAGACGCAGATCCAGCAGCTGTTCCACCGCGCCGGCGTCCACAGCGTCACGGTTCAGCTGGAGCGCGCCGACGGAGAGATGCCCTGCTGTCCTCCTGCCTCCAGAGACGTGACCGAGAAACAGAAGCAAATATCAGCCAAACACACCGAGAGCACCAAGTTCTGAAGCCATTTCTCGACCCGGCCGGTTCCCATGATAATGCACAGAACAAACAGACCTCGTGTTTAATTCCTCCTCACGACTGTGCCTCGCTGCCCTTTCAGACTCCAGCTAATGATTCCTAGTAATTGTTCTTCGTTAGTTTGAGACGGTGCCTGACGGAATCCGGATCATCAGTCTAATTAATCAGCAGCTTATTTATTGCTCTGAATGAGAGACACGTCCAGCTCATATTTCAGCCCAAAACAACAGGATAAAAACACATAATCAAGCCAAAGTCTCATGAGTGTGTAAAGAATGCAAACATGATAGTATTTGCCGTAGTGCCTCTAATGCTTATGCTGATATATGTAATAAATAATAATCTGTATTACAGTAATATGCAATTATTGTTTCAAAAATATTTTTTCGTTTCTTTTGATTTTGGGGTGAAATTCGACCTGGACATGGTTTCATGAGATTCGTTCCAATAGCATATTTACATTCCGTATTGTTATTTATGACCTTTTGCTCTTAATAATCTTTATAACTTCTTGGTAATTCAGGGAAACGCATAGAATTAACTGATATTTAGTTGTTGTGGTGTGAGAGTGTGTGTTTTTGTGTGAGTGTGTATTTGAGAGACAATCAACTGTACTTTAAAACTGTATAAACTAATGTTAAACATTTTGGTTGAAATCAGATTTAGCCTTTCTAAGGAAACAGATTTGAATGGATATGAACAGTGAACTGCTCTGTTTATTAAGATGAAATTCACCTGTTGATCGGCTGTTGTGTGGAGAAACATCTTTCATGACTGCAGCAGCTCCAAACTCACATCAACTCTAATCACAGGTGTTCATAATCACCAGCTGATGAAGCACTAGAGGGCAGCAGAGAACACACACACGCACACTCACACTCACACTCTAACACACTTACACTCTCAAACACATTCACACTCTAACACAGACACACATACACACACTTAAACACACACACACTCAAACACACACACACACACTCAAACACACACACTCACACTCAAACACACACACACACACACTCTCTAACACACACTTACACTCTAACACACACTCAAACACATTCACACTCTAACACACACAGACACACATACACACTCTTAACACACACTCAAACACACACACACACACTCAAACACATACACTCACACTCTAGCACACACACACTCACACACACTCAAACACACACACACTCTCTAACACACTCACACTCAAACACACACACACAAACTCACTCGCACTCTAACACACACACACACTCCTGAACATGAACATCAGTCACGTGACATTAAGATACATTTCTTATTTCTGTTTCTCTGTCAGTTATTTTATAATATTCCAATCTGAAGCTCCACTGATGATCAGTAAAACACATGAGTGTCAGGGCATTAATAATGGAGGAGGCTGAAGGTGTCACTCTTTCCATGCACTGCTGTTCAGAGAACCCATTAAAGCTTCCAGGAAAACACCAGAGAAACTCTGATGAACCGGGCTTGTGTCTGGATGAGGTGATAGTGAGGCGGTGAAGAACGACACTGATCTGTGTTTAAGGTGACATGAAACCTGCTGTTTCAGATCCAAAACACACTCAAGAAGTGCATGTGTAAAGCTGTGCTAAAACAACGACCAATCAAACTCAGGCCTACAATACTCAAACAGATATTCATAGATTCAATACGGACAACTATCATCAACAAATCAAATGAAGACTTGAATAAGAGCTGAGGAAAACCAGTTCATGACAAACCCACGCTCACTTTAATCTGCTCTGACTCAGATAACACAGAAGAGGCCAGCTGATGGAGCTCAGGCAGGACGAAGCCGTATTTAACGAGTCTGACGGTGTTTCCAGTGATCTGCACTCTGTGAGAATCCTCCATCACATCGCTTTCACAACTCACGGCTTTCTGAGCTGCTTCATGGAGCTTCTGTTTGAAGTGTTTGGAAAGATGTTTGATGAGCTGAACGATCAGCACAACAACAAAGCTGCCTCTGAAGGAGACTGAGACGTCAGTGCTTTATCTTTGTGAGGAGCTCAGATTACAGCTGATTACGGTGCTGTTCTTCAATCAGCTGATCTCAGCAGAAGACTGATGTGTTTGTGTTTCCCGTCACTGACATCATCCTGCATCACGTTACTAAGCAACCCCTGAGCACCATCTGTCGTCACGGCAACCGCCTCACCCTCAGACCTCTGGTGATTTCCTCCATCAAACCTCAGTCTCATTCATTATTAACTGATAGATTTCATAACTTTCACATTGAGAATTGCAAGTATTTTAGCTTTCTGATATGTTCTGTTTGAATATGCAAATTAGGCATTATCTAATTAAATATGTACTATTCTCTACACATTTCCAGAATATAAATCTGATCATTGTATAACGTCAGGTTCATAATTCTTGTTTGATTTTGTTGACATATCAAAGGTTTTTTCCAGAGGGGGTGGATTTGGATTTCTTTTTATCACTCCATAAATCAGAAAAAACTGTCAACAGACAGAAAACAAACACATGTTTTTAGGAGTAAAATGATGTATAAATCAGTGTGAATGAAATATGAACAAACCTTCAGAATACAGAGAGGAATAAAACTGTAAAGAGAAAAAACTTTGATTGAAATCTACAGACTCAGACAGATAAAGTGTGATACTTTAATGTGTGTTTTGGATGCTTTCTTTTCTTTAGTCTGAAAGAAGAACAGAGCAGAAACAGAGCAGAATCTCCAGACGGAGCGCAGTCTGCTGTTAAACGTGCTTTACTCACTCGACACGGCTGAGCTGTTCATCTGAACTGGACACAGCTCATGAAGCAACAGAAGATGGATTTATTGGCGCGTTGATTATGATTATGGTTGGTTACAGTGAATATACCTGAGTGATCGTGACACGAGGAACACACACACAGTGAGCCGGTCCACACTAACCCAGGAGCACAGCACACACAGGTCAGAGGTCAGGGTTCGGTCAGGTCTTATACGGGTAACTCAGTCCTGATTTACACGAGGATTGTCTGGGAACGTCACGCGTGTTGATTCTTCTGTCGCATTACCTGCAGCCATGCATGCGGAGAACACGCAACACGCTCCTGACGCGCATCAATACACTGGGCTTTTCCTTTTTCACCAGCGCTCGAAGCTAATGTGCTATGGCTGCGTTCCGTAACTATAAAACATACACACAGTGCTGGACAAAATTATTACAACACTAGTGTTTCCAGCAGCTGAAAATGGTTTGAAGTCAGTTATTTCTATCTTTTGCTGTAGTGTGTCAGGAGGAAATATCTGTTAATTGTAATAATGCAGTGAGATATATGTTAGTGCTGCACACAGAGATCTGATCTGATCATCATCAGTCTGTCCGCTGACACACTACAGCAAAAGATAGAAATAACTGACTTCAAACCAGTTTCAGCTGCTGGAAACACTAGTGTTGTAATAATTTTGGCCAGCACTGAACACCAAATAAAATATCGTAATTCTTTTAAATATGGCTGTAAGTGGATAACCCGAGCTACTAAAACAGGACGAAACAAACGAGAAACACAAAGAGCTGAAAGAGTTAAGAGACGAGATTGGCGTTCGCAGTGATGAATGCTGTGTTTATGATGTTTATAGTGTGATCTTCTCCTCTCGTGTCTCAGTCCTGCTTCACCTGTGCGCCGCTCCAGCGCCGGTGGCAGGCCAGCTCCATCAGCTCCACTCCACCCGTGACCCGCTGCTGACACAGGAAGAAGATGACCATCAGCAGGAAGTAGAGTCTGAGGGCGGTCCAGAGCCACAGGCCGGCGCAGCAGAGCGTGATGAAGGCGCTCCAGTACAGCAGCGACGCAGCTTTGATCAGCGCCACTCTCAGCTGGCTCTTACAGGGCGGCACGCGGGCCTCGGGCTGGTCGAAGCGGCGCGGCTCGGAGCGGTAGAAGGCACACAGACGCTGCTCTTTCTCTCGCCAGCGCTCCTGACACCAGCGCTGCAGCTGCTCCGCGCTCGAGGGCAGACACGCCGCAGAGAAACGCCGCACGTGGAAGTGGATCTCGCGCGGGAACAGACCCAGGAGCAGGTGCCGCTCCGTCTGAGGGATGTTCTGAGGATACGCCACCGTGATATCATGCACAGCGTCCAGGTTATCACCTGTCCACGGAAATAACAAGCATCACTCACAGCTCACACAGCACTCACTGATCTCACATTTACATTCATGCATTTGACACGAGACGCGACGCACTACCAGCCAAACGTTTCTCAACAGGAAGGTTTTTAATGCAGCGCGCTTATAATACACAGAATCTTATCAGTCACTGGTCTGCACACTAATTTAGCTTTCATTATGGCTAAATGTATCAATATAGTTACAGTTATCATCATTATATTTTAAGTTATTGTCATTATACACTAACAGTCAAAGTTTTAGAACAGACAGATATTTAATGTTTTTAAATAAGCCTCTTCTGCTCACCAAGCCTGCATTTATTTGATACAAAATACAGCAAATAGAGTAAAATTGTGAAATATTTTTACTATTTAATAAGAGAATGGCTCGCCTTTAATAAAGAGCAGCATTAATCTGAAATAGAAATCTTTTGCAACATTATAAATGTCTTTATCATCACTTTTGATCCATTTAAAGCATCCTTGCTAAATAAAAGTATTAACTTCTATAATTTCTTTCCCCCCCAAAAAATGATAAGACTCCAAGCTTTTGAATGGTGGAGTGTATAATGTTACAAAAGCTTTTTATTTCAGATAAATGCTGATCTTTAAATCTTTCTATTCATCAAAGAATCCTGAAAAAAAAAAGTACTCAACTGTTTTAAATATTGATGATAATAATAATAATAATAATAATCAGAAATGTTTGTTGAGCAGCAAATCAGCATATTAGAATGATTTCTGAAGATCATGTGACACTGAAGACTGGAGTAATGATGCTGAAAATACAGCTGCGCATCACAGAAATAAATTAGTTTAACAGAGATTCACATAGAAAACAGCTGTTTTAGATAGTAATAATATTTCTAAATGTTACTGTTTTTGCTGTACTTTGTATCAAATAAATGCAGGCTTGATGAGCAGAAGACACTTGAAAAATGTTACGGTTCAGAAACGTTTGACTGGTAGTGTATATTGCATTCAAGGTTTAGACTTCATTCCCTGGGAATCAAACCCGTGAGCCAGGTGTTGCAAGCATTACACTCTACTCTATGAGCACACTTTAAAGGGTTTAGGTTGAGCTCGTTTGTGAGCTCTGACGAACATCTACACTGTAACGCTCTCTAATTCGATCCTCTGAACTAACGATGCAGAACACGCGAGCGCTGATGACCTCTGACCTTTCCGCAGCATGTCGACGATGAAGGTGAAGCCGGTGGTGCGAGGATGAAGAACATACTCGTACTTGGGAAGACCGTTTTTCTCAGCGAACTCGTCGCTCCTGGCGCGGGTGTTTTCTGCACAGAGACATCGATGAAAACAGACTTCACACAAACCTTATAATAAAGAACAAAACTCCAAATGAACTAAAATGTGCTTTTAACACACTATCTCTGTATTTAAATTGTATTTAGTCAGCAATTGTAGTACACTTGAGTGTACTCGTGTTTGAA